ATTGTAGGGCGCGTGCGCTCACCAGACAGACAGAGAGAGACATAGAGACAGAAAGCGAGAAATCACCCCCCAGGGGGGATGGTCACACCGCAATCCCTTCTCCTCCAGTCTCCTCTTGGGATCTTGGGCACGCACGCACACGCGCCCGGCGTGAGTTTTAAGCCACCGGGTCCGGGACTCGAACCGCGGTCGACTATGTGGGAGTCCAGCGACACAGCCATTACGCTAACTGCTGGTTCCCAAGAGGATCTTTATTCTAATCCCTATATTCAACTTAACTTGGAAAACATTCTACTTTATAAAACAAAGCAACTTAAAAAGTATTTTTGCGGGCCATATTTTCTATTTTCTAACCTTCGCAGACTACATCAGTGATGACAGACACACAGGACATATGAAACACTGACATAAACAGCAGCAAACTAAAGACCTATACCATGAATTAACTATTTGCAGTACACATTATTGAAACATCGGGAAAGTCATGATGTGTCTTTCTACATAAAATCTGTCATAATTTTCCTGACAACCCAATAAAAATAAGTGGTTGTGGCTTTTGAGAAGGCAGAGAGAGGCTGGTCACTGGCTGACTGTCATGGTTCTATTTGGGAGGGCTTCTCAAAGTAAGGGGATTATAAGATAAAATGCCATCAATGTGGAGAAATGTAAATACACACACTATAGGCAGAGACCTTCTAGAGTCCCCACATACCCATAAACCAGCTTCAGTAGTTAACAAGGGGGCTAGCAGGTGGTATGGTGGTTAACGTGTTGGACTCCCACATGGCCGACCAGTTTGAGTCCCGGACCCGGTGACTTGCTTTCTCACTTTCCCTTTCTCTCCCTCTGTCTCTCTCTGGTCAAATTAAAATATAATATCAACAACAAATAAAATTAAATAAAGAAATAATTTTAAAAAGTAGTTAACAAAGGGCCAAGTTTTCATCCACTCACCCAGTATTTTTGAATGTAAATCTCATATAAGCATTTCACATATGGAGATTTTTTTTATAGCATTCCAAGATTAAAGGTGCTCACTTAATTTATCAGTGGAAAAATGTACTGCAGGAAAAAGCACTGATGTGTTGACATAAAATGAGAGATGTCAGTGTGTGTGAAGCATAAGGAGAGAGCAGAGGAAAGGAGACCAGGAAGAGGTGGTACAGAAGCCCTCAGAGCACAGGTAAGCAGCTCTGAGTTTAAAGCAATAGTTAAATAAAAGAAATAAAGCTGACTTTTGCGAGACCATGGGAGCCTGATTTCAGAGGTACTGAGCGTATGAAGCTATAATGGAGGATACTGCAGCGCTCCCAAAAAGATAAACAGACATCTTTCCTACATGCTAAAAAGGAATGTCCTACCCGCTTCGGGAATGGTTTCCTGGGTAAGTATTTAACTGTCATTTCTCTTATTTTCAGAACTGAATTTTTCTTTGGGACTCACACATAGAACTGTTGGTTGTAGAGAACTCTGAATCCTTTTGTCTCACTTGTGAAATAAATTTGCTGAGGATATCAGTGAGATGAAACTAATATCACACTGTAAAAACTTGTCTAAATTTAAATGACCACTAATACAATTTAAAAATGAGCAACTGGCATTTCAGAGGTAAAAACTCTTCCTCTAAGATTTAAAGTTTGTGATGTGAGAATTGACCCACATCACAAATAATGACTATAAAATAATGACTATAGGTTTTATTCCAAGCAATATTTAACGGATTAGGCTTTACTGAAAGGGAGGAGGTGGGACAGTAGCAGGGGAAGAGCTGAGGTGTGAAGGAAGGAGGGAGGACAAAAAGATGTGAGGAAGTATTTAATTTTTTAACTTTTCAAAAAAAGAAAGAAATGATAAGGCCATTTTTTAAACTACTATAAGACCCCAGCTTACTTTTTTGGTTTTCTGGAAGTAGAGCTCGGGAAAAGCATGAAACCAGTAAGCCAACTGTGATATGTAGAAAAATTTCATTTGAAACCTGTACAACACAAGAAAGTAAAAAATACTTTTAGAACATAATATTTTTTAAAGAATGAAAAAATACAAACACTGGAAATCAGAACGCGCTCAGTAGCTACCTTTGTATTATCATTTCATACATACTCTGCCTGTCTTTAAACTGCTGCAGGCCACCTTCCCTTCTCTCCCTAGGAGATTCCCACCAGCAGTCAATTCCCCTGGGCTAAAGAGCAGGCAGTTATCTGCACAACACTGTTAACATGCAAGCTAGCTAGGAGGAGCCAGAGAACCCTGTCTATTAGTTAATTAATACTGGTTAGGAATGTAATACCAATCAGAATGTCATGTTAGCTGCTGAAAACCTGTCATGATCAACCCACATTATCTGTACGATTTCATCAAAAAGAGAAAGATAAAAACTGACAGAAAAGTGAAGGTGCACGGATGAAAACCTCTTGAAACTGGGATAATCCCCAGATCAAATATCCTCTGGCTTTTTCTCGGGGAAACATGGGAACTGCCTGGGTGGAAGATGGAGAGCGCCCCAAGTAAAGGAAGCAGAAGAATGATAGAAATAAGGAAGAGAAGAGTGCCCCAGGAGATAATCCTCATCAATCTAGACCCAACAGTCTCCTCTTCACATCATCTGTCTCTACCCCTTCTGCTTCCTCTTTATTCTCCCTTCTCTCTTGTTAGAGTCTGAAACAGAAAACATAAAAGCCTACCTGAAATACTATCTGGGGGGATATACTGTCCTACATGAATATGTTTATTGCCCTGTTCTATACAAGTTCACTGAATTAATACAGTTTTTTTAAACCACAGAATGACTCAGTCGAGTGGTCATTACTGCCAGATTTAAAGATATGCACGGTCACGTTACTCCTTTCTTTTCTTCATATCTTTGTCTCCAATTCTCACATCACAACTCATTTACTGAATCCTGTCTAGGTGACAGATAACTGCAATCTACCTGGTGTGATGAAGGATAGAAAATAAAAACAAGAGATGGAGCCTCCTGCTGTCAAGGAACACACTGTCTTGGTGGGTATGGGCGCAATACCAGATTTACATAAATGAGACGAGTATGAAGCAATCAAGACACTATATTGATGCTACATAAAATATAAACCCAAACAACAAATTCATGGATGTAAAAGAACAATCTAGGCTAAAGTAGCAAGGAAAATTAACATGGAATAGTCATACTGAGCTGGATGAAGGCGTGACTTATCTACTACAATCTTTGTATCCATCCACTGAGGTCCTGGCAGCTCTGTATAGAAACTCTGGGAGCTAGAAAGGTAAAAATGAAATAGTATCTTGCCCCGAGAAGCTTACAGTACAAAGGAATAAAAAAGAAAGGAGTGAAAAGAGGGAGAGAGCACAAAGAAAGGGAGCCAAGGTATGGACAAGAAGTCACGAGGAGGAGGAGAAATGATAAGGAGAACGAAGCAGAAGGCGAGCGCATCAAACCAAGATCATCATGAAAACCAACTGTTTCACGCTGAGGAAGATGTTGGAAAGACTATATAAGTGAAAAAAGTGCACGGGAATCTTTTAATCTTTTTTTTTTTTTAAGATAGTAGGACTGCCAAAGACATGCTTTCATCTATTTTATGAATCTGCCTATGGTCCTACAGAGAAAAAGAAGAATGAATTCTGCTCAGTAGTAACACAGTCAAGATTCTTAACTAAGAAAGGCCTGCAAAAAACGACTTACGTCATCAGGTTATGGGGATATGCCCTCCACAAAATAGTTGGGTCTGAGATGTAGTTTTCCTAAGAAAGAAGACATAAAAATTGGCCTATGAGTATGTTGCAAATGTCATGTTTTCAAACAACTACAGTTCATGTATCAGGTTGCAAAGTGCCATTAAAGTGAAACTTTAGTACTTCTAATTCTTTTCAATGCAATTATAATTGCTTACTTTCACAGAGTGAAAATCAGTGTGAAAGAGACAACATCAAGTAAGAAACAATTCCTGGCCTTCAACAATCTTTCAATCCAGTAGATTAAAAAAATACGTGCATGCAAATAAACATAAAATACCCAATTAACAGTAAGGCACATAATAGACACAATAGCTATGCGGGATGAATTACATCTTGGGTAATCAGAGAAGGATTGTACGAAAAGATACTACACTGGACAGGGGATGGAGGATCAGATGGAATACTGCCAAGTTTCATGAAGGTATGTTCAGAAACTACTACCTGAACATTTTTCTTAGATAACTGGATCTACTCAGAATTCTTAAGTATGAAAAAAAAAATTATCTTAAATAAGAATATTTTCCTATAGAAATAAAACTATTATTTTTTCTTTTTAAATTTATATGATAGATTTTAAACTGAAATTTCCATACATCTATAAAGTATTATCAAAACAACAGTAAAATGGAACAGGAAAGTTAAGTTTCAGTCTATCACCTACATTAAGTGTCATAACCTGGAAAATTCTCTTTGCCTGTTAGTCATCTCTTAACATGATGATTAAAAAATAATTATATGTCCAACAAACTCAAAAAGTATGACAACTATGGAATACCATATAAATTTAAGAGATTGTTATCACTAACATTAAAGTAGATAATACGATTAAAGGTTTTGATTTCTTAACTAAAATGTTGGACAGTATTTTAAATTGTTCAGAAAATTAAAGGCCTATTTCGAAAGGAGGAAATGATCAGAAGTATTACAACTCATATAACTCAGTAAGAGCACCACTGGCAGCTCACGCTATTTGCTAATACGAGTATCTATCTACAAATGACTACAAGTCATTAAAATAGCATGCAGTGTGACTAAAAATGAGTCACTCTTTCTCAACAAACAGTTTAGAATTTTTACTGCACAAACACTAACTGAAAGAAAGATTTATCACTGAAAATCTTAAGCTGTATTAGTTCATTAGCAGAGTTCCTAATCTTAGATGAGGAAGGAGAACAACACTATAAGAGGGACATACTTACAGAGATTAGAATGAATGTTCCCCAAACACAAGCAAAAAGATAGAATGCACTAAGCTGACCAGATTCATTGAACTTGCTGTGTTTCGTTTTGGAGAAGTGCATTCGCCTGTTAATTTTCTAAAAATAAAAGCAGCCATCAATAATTAGGAATAAATTATAAAATATATTTAATATATGTCTATCATAGTATGGAGAGCTAGTACTTTTTTTTATAAAGTATATATTTCTAAGATTGTATACTTACATCCAACACATACTCCTGAATTATGGCATGAATAATTATCGCCACTAGCATGTAGAAGAAAACTGTAGCCAAATCTTTGATACCATAGTAATAAAGGGATGCTGATTCAGTAGCTTGTTCTTCTGAAGGCCAAAAAGGACACACATACACAAAAATATACATAAGATTATAAAAACAGTACTAAGTACAACATAGTTATGGAAACAAACAAAAGAGGACTAACCTAATAAAAAAAGTTCTACGGAAACATCATAAATAATCTGCTCTTAGACATCTTGAGTCTTAAAGGGCAATTAAAAATAGAGGGGGAAACTATCTAGAAATCTAATGCTTCAGAAATTACTTACAAAGACTTGACACATGTTAGTTACAGCCACCGAAAACCAATAACCAAAAAAAGAAAGAGGGGGAAAAAAATGAGGGAGGAGAGGCCACACTCAATAAAGTGATATTATCACAGGAATAGAGATGAGGTTGATAAAGCTACACGGTCTATTTACTTGCCTTTTCAAAGAACTTTTTAAAACTTCCTGTCTCTACTTTCACGCTAGACACTACATGATGATTTTGATGGAAAAACTGATTTGATCTGTATTTGATTCAGTTTCGATCTCTAAGCAAGTAGCAACAGAGGTAATTACTGCTTAAAATTGTTTTTAATCTTAGCAATTGCTATATTTGTCAAAATTAAAAAAACTGTTTTTAAACAGGTTTCAGTATATTGTGATCCTCCTGCCTCAAGCCCGTCAGTGCCACTGCGCCTTGCTTTTTAACGTGGATGGAAACAGAACCCAGGCCTTCCATGTGGCCTCAGCCTGTCCAGTAGCAACTTTAACCAGATGGCTATATTGACAGGGTTTTTAAAACAAATCTTAATCAAACACTGTGTACTGTCAACACTTGTTCTCAAGCTTTATGTTTATGGGACTATTAAGGTAAAAGCTTTAGTCTCCTCTGACAGTGAGATTTCAAAACAATACTGTAGTTTGGAGTAACCTGATATCTAAGTTGCTGACTCAAATATTTACAGAACTACACATAACTAAACAAAATCCAACTCAATGTTGTATATCTGGTGCTACATTCTAAATGGAAAACCTCAGGGCATCTTTGCCTATGTTAACATTTCATTAACCAAATACCTCATCCCTCACCTATGCTAGTTAATTACATTACTCTATTCAACCGCAATCAACTTCTAATAACAACTTGTTTTTCACAGCATAACTTAGAATTAAAAATTTTTGAAACAAAAATTAAAATAATAGTTTGGATACTATTAACCGGAGAATTCACATACATTCAGTCTAATCAAAGCAACTGTTAAGAGCAGAGTACAATAAAAAGTGAAAATACAGTAAGGTAGAAACGACTGCTGGTATAGGTCCAAAATATAATTTAGAGGTCAGAAAAACTGAACCCAAACACTGTGCTCTTTCAAAGCCTTGAGTTAATAACGACACTTTAATAAACAAATTTAAAATAGATTTCTTTAGGATGTCGTTATGAAAATTTCAGAGGGCAGAGAAGGCAATAAGAAAAGTTTTAGGATGGATTTCATGCCCATTGACAAAAATATAAAATAAACATAATCACAAATGACATCTGTGAACATTAATGCAGACCTACTGTTCAAGGAGATGTCAAAGTTTATTCAACAGAACTTCTGCTCCAATAGAAATTCTTCACAAAAACCACCTACCTGTTGCTGGGAGGGTAACATTGTACTGAAGAGTAACAAAAATGATAGATGCTTTTGCTGTTATCTAGAAAGGAAAAAAAAAATAGATAAATTCACTTTGTGATCTTCCTCAAACACAAACACCAGATCAGGGACAAAAACAGTGTTAGCTCGGTTACCAAATCTAAGAAACAAGGTGGTACCCTGGTCCCTTTGGCACCTTGGGAATTCCTGATCACAAAGAGGTTGAGTTTGGGAGTTATAATTCACCAGAGTAGTCTGCAATTTAGATGAGATTGCACTTTTCCTCTATACGATTTCAAAAGGTTGATGCTGCAGTTCCAGTAAACAGTGATTTGACGAATAACAATGTTCTACTTCTGACCTATGCAATAAACATAAAGTTCCTGAGACGAGGAGATGGCGTAATGTTTATGTCACTGGACTCCCACGTAGTGGACTGAGGTTCAAGTCCTGGACCTGGTGGCTTAAATTCACACTGGGCACATGTGTGCATGCCCAAAATTCCAAGAGGAGAACGGAGAAGAGAGGATTGCAGTGTAGACAGCACCCCCTGGGGGGTGATTTCTCACTTTGTCTGTCTTTGGCAAGCGTACACACCCTATAGCAAAAATCTCTCTCTGAAAAAAAAAAAAACTCCATAAAGTTCTTAATCAAGAAAAATGTTAAATGCAAATTAATACAAGCAAGTACAGTTAGCATGAAAAAAATGGATTAAAGGTACAGTCTATGGTGTGTGTTAATCCCCCATACATCTGGCATAGTTAAATGTCAATAAGTATTTAACTAATCTGACTATTGGTAAAGGTAAAGTGTTCCCAACAGGAAAGTGGAAATGCTTACTCAATATTCACAGGCATTGGGCACCGTGCTAGACAAAAAATAATAAAACAAAGATGAACAAAAAAGTCTTTAATGACAAGCTCAGTCATGTCAGGAGGACAGGTAAACAAACTGCTATAATCTTAGAATCCTTATCAATAATTTATGTAATAGGTACTCAATATTAAAAACAAATATTTCCTCCCTCACCTCCCTGGGGACAGAAAGTGAAGCTTATTCTGGAAAGGCTTTTTAGAGGAAGTAGTACTAAGATGTATTCTGTTGGACAAAAGAAGTTCCGTAGGCTCAGGGGAAAGAGGGTAGGGATGCGGGGGTAAAGAGGGTAGGGATGAGAGGGTAGTACAGGTGAAAAGAAGAAAAGAAGGGAAGGGAGGTTAGAAAGGAAAGAAGGAAGGAAGGAAGGAAGGAGTGAAGGTCAAGTACCAGTAAACAAGAGGCCAGCATCAGAGAGCAGAAAAGCCTAGAAAGATTATCAAGTACTGGAAAGGATTTTGTTGTAATTTAGATTTTATTCTAGCATGATTGGAGAATTTAAGGGCTACTTATTCATGCCTTTTAGAAAGATGGCTGGCTCAGGTCTCTCAAGTGCCCTCAGATTCAATCTCTGCACTGCAGCTAGAATGACTGGATTATGCATACATGCTCTTCCCCTGTTAAAAATCCTTTACTGGATGCCCATCTTCCTAGGGTAATATGGACTACACAATTCTTCATGGCCCGTCCTTCCCCTCTGCCTCTTCAGCCTCACCCCAGACTATTTCCACCTGCTCCCCCGCCCCTGTGATTCTTCCTACCATGTGGTCTTGTTCTCTCTGAATACTGTTGGGAAACCTTCCTCTTCAGATTTCAATTCAATCACACCTTTTCAGCCACGCCTTCTCTGACTTCTTGGAGTATGGCATTTCCTGTGTTGAGATTATCTTAGAGAACTGTTGCTTTCCTTTAGAAACACACACACACTGGTTTGATTACATTAGTACTTTCTGTCCCACCCAGCAGAAGGGAAACTCCATAGAGCTGAGAACAAGACTGTGTCTGCTCATCACTGTATGTTCACAGCCCAGTAGGGGCCTGGCACATACCAGGCAATTGCCCAATGTTACTAATTAAATGTCAGGTAAAATACAAACTGGAGTTAAGCGTGAAAGCCAAGAGTAAGACCTAAGTAGACACCACACGAAAGACAGTAGGTCTGAATCCAGGCTGTGGTAGTCAGACAGAGGAGGCATTTAGGAGGCAGAATGAAGCTTGGGAAGCAAGAGGAAAAGGTAGAAGACGGTTTATTGACATCAAGAGCTTCAACAACTACACAAAAAGTAATACTACTAATAAAAATGTGGCAGGGTAAAAAAAAGGGTGTTGCCAATCTTGTATCTCAAAAAACAAACAAACCAAAAAAACCAAACCCCCAAAACCCTAGAATGAAAGTCGAAGGTACACAACATGATGTAACATTCTTTGTTGAAGATGATGTATATGATAAGATCCTTGATTTGATTATCACACACTGCATGTAGGCTTTGAAAAACCATGTTATACCCAATAAGTAAGAGATCATAAAATAAAATGAAGAAACTCAAAAGTAAAATAGGGACAGCAGATGGTGTAATGGTTATGTCACTGGATTCCTACATGGTCGACTATGGTTCAAGTCCTGGACCTGGTGGCTTGAAACTAATGCCAGATGGATGTGCATGTGTGCCCAAGATCCCAAGAAGAGAGTGGAGAAGGAATTGTGGCATGGTCATCTCCCTAGGGAGTGATTTCTTGTTTTCTCTGATGAGCATATGCATTCTACAGCAAAAACTTCTCTCTAAAAAAAAAAAAAAAAAAAAACGTAAAATAAATTGTGAAATACAGGAAAACAAGTTTTAGGCAAAAGAGAAATGAAGTTTTAGAGAAAAAGATTTCTGTAAAACACACAGGTGGAAAGAACGGTCGGCAG